TGATCTAGAGTAAATTTGCATGGTAAAACAAACAAGTAAACCCCTATACAACAACCACAAACACTATCCTAACCCCACAAAATGTCATCAATACAAATATGTTACAAAAACACGATAGATGCAACAGACTTATACCGACGACCTCATAGGTCATCGCATAAATGCGAGGCCACATAAAACCATCGCCATAGAGCAAGACCACAAAAAGTCATCGTTAAAAGACGAGACCACAAACTCAACGCATAAAGCGAAGACAACATCTAACCATCGCAAACACGCGACTACAACATTCATAGGGCGAGGCAAAGGAATCAAGCACTACTTCAAGAAAGGACCATCAGTCAGCTCATCTTAGTGAGCAGGTCATTAACCAAGACCACACTTAAGCCAGCAGCGTCGTCAGATTTGAACGCCCAGGCAGCAGGTCTACCGGATCTGAAAGTACAAGGATGTGTAGCACCAAATCGGTCGAGGGGAGCGTTACTGCCATGTAAACAAGCTGATGGAAATGGAAACAACCACGAAACCTTCCCAAACCACAAACCAGCCCAAAATCGAGGAACCTTGTAACGAGGATGGCACGGATCTGGGTAAAGACATAGCCAAGGATGAGTTACTCACAAAATGGTGGGAAAGAGCTATGGAGGGGAGGATGGGAGGTGTTATAGAAGCTAAGAGAAGGTAGGGGAGGCGGGGGGGGGGGGGGGAGATGAGGGGGAGAAGTGGGGGAGGGGGCGGCGCTGGGAAGGGGGAGGGATTGAAGGGAATAAAATAGGTGAATGGGTTGGCAGAGGGTTAGGGAGGGGGAGAGAGAGACTGGGAGGAAGGTGGGGAGTGGCTGCCGCCTACCCCAAGCCAAAGCAAAGGGCTAGCGACTAAGATTGTAGAAACCTAGGGTTTGGTTTTGGGGAGGGTGAGTCGGAGAGAGCTGAGAGAGAAAAAGAGTATGTTTGTAGCTTATTTTAACCTCTCTTAATTATATGTGCTCATATATTCCTCGAAGTGATGCTTACCATATTGTATGACACTTGTAATTACATGATCATTGAAGAAAGTTGAGGATTTTATTTTCTCTTTTGATAAAGAATTCATACTCTTAACAATTAGAAAGTATCACGTAACAAAATGTCATCAATATATAACAAAGAAAAAGAAAATATTGCATTCAACTTTGATTAGTGCCCCAAAAAAGAAACACGTACAAAAGTCCGTTTCTCATGTTTAAACTTAGACAACTCTTTCCTTGTTCTCTATTTTTGTTCAAAAACATGACAACTCTGCTTATGGCATGGAGTGCATGCCTGTGCTCCTATGGATATGAGACCAAAAGAGACACTGAGACCCAATACAGGATGTCAAAGTAGGTTGGTTGGCAGATATATTCTTGAAAGAAAATAGGCTCAAATAGCAAGTCGGTGCATATATCTATTTAAGAATATAATGCTGCTTTAATTTTGCAGCTAATCTCAGGACCCTCCGTGTCACTTTATCTTCCAAAATGCAACACAAAATATAATTATACAACTCAGAATTAAAAATATCTGCTGATATAGCGATATTAAGCATTTGGGTCGGTGTAATATTAGTGCTAACAATAATCTTTAAGGTATACTCTGTCCAAACCGAATCGAGTGGAGAGCTTTAAGAATAAGGACTGTTACATTGCTGTAAGGTACCCCACGGGACCTAGAGACAACGGACAAGTAAGTTTTGGGGCAGTGGTCCCTCACAGAGGCACCCTAAATGAGGAGGAGTTGAGCAGCACTAGACAAATTTTGGGCATCACAAAAAATTCACAACTTTGAAAGGTGGGCGAAGGGTCGTCATCACTTACTGGGTCACCTTTGTGAATTAAATCCATGGGCAATCGTGTAATTAACTCTATTTCTGTATATGTCAGACTGTACTATCATTTCATGCTTTGGACCACACTGTGCTCCGCCATTCGAATATCTTGCATTACATGAAACAATAAGCCACATGTGTTCACTAGAAAAACCCTATATCCAAATCCTACCCTACCCACTCACTCCACTACAGTTTTGTTTCTGTTTCATTTAATCTATCTAATATTGAGAGAAAGCCAGGGAATATGGTTTTAAGCAGTAAGCACAACATATAATTAGTTATTGTACGTATTTTCTGAAGCATGGAACCTAGTTTACATTGACAAAACCAAGGTTGTGAGTATATTTCATATCGATCGGCAATGTGTTACCTTGAAATCCCAATATATTAATGTCTAAAGTTCTCCATCTGTTGTCGTGATCATTGTGAATTCACTATAATAGTTATCTTGATGAGTCATATAATGAATTGCAAATCTGTAACTACGTATCAGGAATATTGTATAGCCTTGGTAGCAAGTCATAACAGTTTGGTTTAGGAGTCTAGGTATATATGCAATTACATATCACTAAATATTTATGTCATAAATAGCTTTGCTTAGCTCGCAAGACTCTAACTATTCTAACGAACATATTAACCTTCTACCAACTCCTCCAACAATTTACATGACCCTGGACTAATCCCCACCATTCTATTAAAATAAAGGAAAACTAACCAAAAGGGCTTGAAAAATTTAACTTTTAATCGAAAACCACATTGAAAGTTTATTTAATGATTAGTACAAATCCCATTTTTATATCAGCCCAAATACAATAGCCCAGACTAAATAACATGGTGGTTTGTCAATTTTACCCCTAACGGATGTGGTTAACCTAATTTAACTATTCTGTTAGATTAGTCGGTTTGGGGTTAGCCGAACCTATAAACTAATTGAATTTTAATTTTTGCAGACCAATTTCAGAGGGATTTTCAATTTTTTATGAATCTAGTTGAGTGGTTTGAGTAATGCTTGCCGACGAATGTTGAGAGCACATTTTGAAATCGTGATCACCGTTGTTCTTCGTCTTTGTTAGGGGGATTTTTCCGAAATAAACCTTTGTTTCTGAACAGATTCGCAGTGGTTGCATATTTTGAGATTCTATCGAATCGTTGTCATTGGTGTTGTTCGTTGTGCTTGAATATTTTAACTAGAGTGATCGTCTTTCATATTTGGTTAGATTTTCGTTTGGAGGTAATCAACATTGTTTTTGTAGTTTTGTATTCGATTTTGAATTCGATTTTTCGTTTAATTCGAATTCGATTTTGAATTCGTTTTTGCACGTAATATGCTTCGCTTTTTATTTGACTTTATATATTGATGTTTATTTGCTTTTAGATTATCAGATTGATTCTGTTTTGTGAAATTTTCAGTTAGGAGTTTCTTATTTCGAAGAATCTCAGGTAAGTTTTGATTTGTTTGTTTGTTTTTTTTTTAATTGGAATTCGATTTTGAATTCGTTTTTGCATGTATTATGCTTAGCTTTTTATTTGACTTATATATTGTTGTTGATTTGTTTTCAGATTAGCAGATTCATTCTGGTTTGTGAAATTTTCAGTTAGGAGTTTCTTATTTCGAAGAATCTCAGGTAAGTTTTGATTTGTTTGTTTGTTTTTTTTTTAATTGGAATTCGATTTTGAATTCGTTTTTGCATGTATTATGCTTAGCTTTTTATTTGACTTATATATTGTTGTTGATTTGTTTTCAGATTAGCAGATTCATTCTGGTTTGTGAAATTTTCAGTTAGGAGTTTCTTATTTCGAAGAATCTCAGGTAAGTTTTGATTTGTTTGTTTGTTTGTTTGTTTTTTTTTTTTTTTGTTTATATTGTATGTTGGTCATCTTGATTTTGTTTTCCTTTTTCAGAAATTTATTATGAATTAATTCGTGTTCATCACATTTGATGTTGTTAACATTTTTCAGAAATAGTGTTCTTTTTTTTTTATGAAACAGTGGATATTTCAGTTTATTTTTTGTTTTTGTGATTGTTGTGTTTTATAACTAGTGTAATTTTTGTTCACTTTATATGTATATTGTTTAACTAATAGGTGTTCATCACATTTGATGTTTATAACATTTTTCAGAAATAGTGTTCTTTTTGTTTATGAAAGAGTGGATATTTCAGTTTACTTTTTTGTTTTTATGATTGTTGTGTTTTATAAATAGTGTACTTTTTGTTCACTTTATATCTATATTGTTTAACTAATAGGTGTTCATCACATTTTATGTTTTTAACATTTTTCAGAAATAGTGTTTTTTTTTACGAAACAGTGGATATTTCAGTTTACTTTTTGTTTTTGTTTTTGTTTTTTTTTTTTTTTTTTTTTTTTTGTGATTGTTGTGTTTTATAAATAGTTTTATTTTTGTTCACTTTATATGCATATTGTTTAATTATTAGGTACTTATTTGTTTTACAAAGATTGGAATTTAGAATTGCAACAGATTAATAAACAGTTGTTATTTATTAATAAATAGTTATGGAGAATGGTAAACTAGCTCGGTTTACATATGGTGGTTTATGCGTTGTCAGTTCTATTTCATCAACTTCTACCTTCAATCAGATTTGCATTGCTCTTTGTTCTAGGTTTAAGGGTTTGAGAGTTGGTTGTTTTCAGTTGCGATATGGTTTGAATGAAAATCGTAATTGCATGTTAGATTGTGATGCCGATGTTTTGAACATGCTGATAGTTCTTAATTTTGTTGGGAAATCAATTATAGAAATATTGGTTATAGATAAATGTGATGGTTCCATAGTTCAGTTACCTACGGAAAGCACATCTTCTTCTTGCCGTACATTAGACTCTATGATTGTTTTTAGTGAAAATGATCATTTAGGAAAGTATGGTTCTTACGATGTGCACAATTATATGTCATGTGAATGGGACAATTACATAAAATCTGAGGGGCAAGTCTTTAGGGGAGGTTGTGTTGATTTCCGAGATAAGTTGAAGAAGTTTTCTGTTGAATGTAGTTTTGATTTGAAGTATTTGAAGAATGATAAGAATCACATTAGTGTGTTCTAAGAAGGAATTTGATGGTTGTCTTTGGCGTGTGTATGCATTCAAGTGTAATATTAATGACTTTTTTGTTATTCGGAAGTTGCATAATCTGCATACATGCAAGGGTATGATTCGAAAGAAGAAAACAAAGTTGTTGGCCGACAGTTTGTTGCTTCTCTCATCAAGGACAAGGTTCAGTCAAATCCTCTTATTAAACCAAAGGAGATTATTTCAAACTTAAAACAGTTTTATGGATTAGATATCGATTATTCTACTGCATATTTTGGCAAACAGAGGGCAGTTTTTGAGTTAAATGGTGATGATGTTGATGTTTACAAGTTCTTACCTTGGTATGTTGAATCTGCTCGTTCAAGCAATAGATTTCTTCGTTTATTTATTGCTTATGATGCATGGATAAAAGGTTTCATGTTTTGTCGCTCGATGTTATTCATTGATGGTACTTTTATCAAGAGCAAATACAAGGGAACACTTCTGTCTTGCTGGGCAAAAAATGGTAACGATGGTGAGTTAATAATTTCAGACTTTTATATTGGATATTATTTTTTTCTGTTTGCTTACTGTGCGAAAGAAACATATCCAGAACTAGTTGAAGAACAGTTTAAGAAATAATTCAATCAGTTTCATAAATAGGTGATACTTTGACTGTATCTTTTTTTTTTTTTTTTTTTTTTTGTGCATTGGTCTTTGATTTTATGTTCAAATAAAGAAAAAAGGTTGCAGAAGTAGTTCAAATAGAGTATACTAAATAGTTCAATTACAGTTTTAGAAGTAGTTGACATTTGACAGTGCATTTTCACTTATGTTGTGCAGAGATTTTTGAGGTTGCTTATGCTATTGTTGATTCAGAAATGATAGCAAATTGGAGATGATTCTTGGCAATATTATTTGGTATATTGAGGTCTCAAAGGAGGGTGATCACATTTATGTCGGATAGACATGATGATATTTTGAATAGCATTCGAGAATTATTTCCCAAATGTCCACATTCATTTTGTATTGTTCATTTGAAACAGAATGCGAGTACTTTATTTCCAAAGGCTGCTGGTGAAGGACTAAAGAAGAAAATGATGAATCTGTTGGCAAATTGTGCGTACGCATGTACCCTATCTGATTTTGATGATTGCATGGCGGAATTCAAGGATAATGGGCAAGGGCATGTGAAGAATTTTTTGTGTGATTTGCCAAAAGAGAACTATACTATTGCCCATTTTTCTGGTAAGAGATGGGGATTGATGAGCAATGCACTTTCAGAATCTTTTAACACCATGGTGTCGAATAGTCGTTGTATGCCACTTATGGATCTTCTTGAAGACATTAGAGTTCTGTTGATGGGTAGTATGGCTGAGAAAAGAATATTTGGTCAGAATATTCATACAATTTTGTGTCCAAAGAAAGAAAATGAGATGAAGTTGATGTTGAAGGAGGGCATGCATTGCAGGATTAGTCGTTCTGATGTGGATGTTTTTGAAGTTAGGACGAAGTGGAATCGGTTTGTTGTTTGTCTGGATGATAGGACATGTTCTAGTGTGCAATGGCAGCATAATTGTTTCCCAGGTTCTCATGCTTTGCAGGTGTTGCAACATGATATTCGTGATGTTTTTTATTACTTTGATGATTACTGGAAAGCAAGCTTTTATCGAAAAACATATCAATTTGTCAGGCATCCATTTTCAAATTTGGAAAAGCTGAATGTTGATACTATCATAAATGGTGTGATGCCTCCAATTACAAAGGTTCCGTCTGGAAGATTAAAGAAAACTAGGATCAAATCTGCTGGAGAAATCAGTGGGAGTAAGAAGACTGTCACTTGTAGTAGGTGTGGTTGTTCGGGACATAACAAGGTTTCATGTACAGTTGTTATACAAAAGGGTTGATTCTTTTTCTTTTTTGTTTTGAGAGATGAGAGTTTTTGGTGATATGTAACAGATTTTCATTTTGGACATTTTTTTTTATTTTGTTTCAATTGGTGTTTGGGAGTATGTAATTGTTGATTTGGAATTATGTTCGAGTAATAAATATGAATTCACCGTTTTAGTATTTCCAGTTTTACGAAACATTATGTTGAATTTGATAAACAGTGAATACATATCTAAGTTTATGGCTTTGTGGTTTCAATATCTGTTTTATAGGTTGTATGTAAGTTTGTGTGTTGCATTTAAAGTTTTAAAGTGAATGCAAGGCCGTTTGTAGGAGGCAAGTATGTTGGTTTTCATTCTTGATCCAGTTAATATTCCATTTTAGGTAAGAGAAAATGAAAAAAAACCACACTACTTATCAAATTGAAGTAGAAAACCAAACTTTGTTACCAAAGCAAACCGAACTATATATCAAATTGAATTATTTATGATAGAAAACTAGAAATCCACTTTTTTACCAAGCAAACTGAACTATTTGTCAAACTGAACTAGAAAACCACACTTTTTTAACAAAGCAAATTGAACTATTTATCAAAATAGATTAAAATTTAGATTAAGTCATGAAACACACACACACACACACACACACACACATATATATATAGAGTTGTGTCAAATATGTTTGATAATGACATTTGTAAATCATAGCAAAAGTAAGCTTGAACATGTAAGTATTGCTTTAGTTTAAACCAATACTTTCCACCATTTCTCAAATTTTCATCTTGAACCTTAAAAAGTACATCTGCATCAAAATTACATATAATGCGTATTTTTTTTTTATTCTAATGTCCAATGCTTGTGAGTTGTTGTGAGATTTCGATATATGCTTCTTGTTCATTTGTCCAGCTGAAATTATGGTTCATCAAATCCATGAGGATATCTTTCCTTACTTTCATTAGTTGATAATCTTTGATACGTCCTTGAACCTTCTAGTAAATTGATAGTTGGTCAATGAAGCTCATCATGTATAAGCCTCAATCTAATCTGATTTACAAAGAAATTCATGGAATGATTATGAGTATTAAATTGAAATTAAGTGTGTGGTACAAACTATTTCTATAACTGTATCAAATTATTCATATTGTCTGAAACTGCAGTAAGCACAAACTATACATATATATAACTAAAATGCTTTTAATTTTATAACGTACGATGTTGGTTTCTGTTGTGCACAGGTTCTGTCTTCTTTGACTTGGAATTCAATGTCACTTTTGATAGAATTGATTTTCTTCATTGTGGTTTGAGTTGAATCCATAGCATTTGAATTGCTTGTTGATTTTCTTGCTTTATCAAGCCAATATTGAACAAAGTGGCCTTGCAAAAATTTATAATGTAATAATAAGATGCTTGTTTTCTATAAACATGACAGAGTTTTTGGTTGTGCGTTTTTGCTTACCACTATTGCTGCATTTTCCCAGTAGCAATCAAAGTCTAGATCTTCATCTGTTGTGCTTTGTCGAAGAGAATTGTAGTGAATCATTTCTGCATTTTTTGTGTCCAAAACTACCAAGGAGAAATGGTTGTAATGAAATAATGGGAAGAGAATCTTTAATACTTTTCCATATTGGTCCATCAATTGGTTGTAGAGTCTTTCCTTGTTTCGCAAAGTTGTTTCAATGCTTTGTTCATTGATGTTGTGCTGTTGAAAATGAAAATCATCTAAAATCATAATTACAGATTAATTGTTCTAATTTTTATATGTATATGTAAATAATTTTTTGCAGAATATTAGTTGTTTTGTTTGCTCACAAAGATTGTTGTGGAGACATAGAAATTCATTTGTTTCATGATGTTCTCTTTTTCTCTTTTCAAGTAGCAGAAAGAATCAACAATCTGAGTTGATGTAGGTCCATTTGCCATCAAACTGTGCAGGTCTTCTTTCAACACCATTATTCTATAATAGTTGAATTCTGTAGTTTCAGCTGTCCAGTATTCATCGCTGCAGGACAGTGCAAAAGTATTAGTTATACAATAATTCGTCAGTGCTTATAAAGTTATGGAGTGTGTAAAAAAACTTTAGTTAAGAGTTTTGTTTTGTATTACTTACTTGCTGTCTGTTGACCAGAATTGAGTTATTCTTCTTCTATCATCTGGTTTCAGCATCTTGTACACTTGAAGTTGTGTCCAATTCAAACTACTGTCTATATGATTTGTTGCTGGAAGGTCATCCGGGTGTGAAGAAGGCTCATCTTTTAAATCCAGGTTGAATGATGGAATTTCACCCAAGACTTTCTTTCTGTTTTTTGTCATTGGCTTTGTTGCTTTTTGGCTGAATGTTTGCTTTTTGACTTGTAGATCATTCTTGTTGACAGCATGCTTTTTAGAGCTTTAATATCTGTTTCTTGTTCTCTTTCTTTTGCCATTGGTGAAACATTTTTGTCCAGCACTGTGTCAATTGTGTCACTATGCTCATTTGTTTGTTGTATTGCCTCTTTTTGCACTATTACTTCTTCAATTTGTTGGTTATTTGATTCTGAAACTGGTTTGGCATTTTCCTTTTTCTTGCTCTTTGAAACTGATTTGTCATTTTCCTTTTTCTTTCTCTTGATTGCTGTTGGTGGTTGGAGTGTTTGGTATCTTTTCTTCTGCATCTTTGATTCACAATTATTTTGTTCTTTAGGTTGTGTCTTCCTTTTCCTCTGCCTTTGTAGTGGTTGTTTTTTTTTGCACATTTTTTTTTGCACTTTGCATTGGTTTTCCAACTTCTTCTTCAGTAGTGGTGTCAATCTGTAGATGAATTGTCTCCTTCTTCGTACGTGATATGTTTTCTATTTTTCTAAGCATTTTCCTTTGTTCTGTCCTCTTTGTTGTTTTGGATATCATTTTGACATTGGCTTTGGTTGAGTTTGACATTTGTACAGTTATTCTAACTGAAACCATCTGTCAATATAGTTTTTATTAGAATGCAACTTGATTATAAACAAATAAAAATCAGTATGAGTACACAATTATATTTGAAACATACCAAAGTGAATTACTATTTATGGAAATAGACAACATTTTTATAACTGCATAAATCTTTATAAGATTCATATAACTAAATAAATTAGAAATAAAAATGTACAATAGGAGGTTTATTATGTGTAAGATCTGGAAAATTTGCAATTCTATTTATAAATGAAGTAATTGTAAACTGTTTCGTAAACATTGTTTATCAAACTTAAAAAAACACAAACTATTTACTGAATGTACAAATTATTAACAGACAATCACACTAGTTCGTGTCATAGCATAATATATGTTTATACTACTTGTTCGTGAATGCATCCCAGATTTTACTATTTTCGTACATTTCAATTCTATTTACAAATGAAGCAAATTGTAAACTATTTCGTAAACAATGTTTATTAAACTTAAAAATCATGAACTATTTTACTCAAATGTAAAAATTACAAACAGAGAATCACACTAGTTCGTGTAATAGCATGATGTATGTTTATATATTGAACAATTAGCTAGTAAATAGTCTTTTTTTGGGTGGATCTGTGATGGATTCGTACTGAGAGTAAATAACAAAATAAATTTAAGCAAATAGTATAATCTGGGTTTTGTTTAAGTTGATGCATGTTATTCTATATGCTTGATTTCAGTAGATGTTAGTTATATAAACAATGAACCGTATGCTTTTGTGAAATATACTGAGAAAAATTGTAAGATTGTTACCTTTCGTTTATTTTCTGGGTATTTCTGCGACCAAGTTGCTCAGCGAAGCTGAAATTTGCGTGAATTCGTTCGTAAAAGAACTGGAATGATGTACGAAATCGGTGGCTTCACAAGTGTAGTTGCAATTTGAGCTCTTTTGGCAAATACTTCTTCCTTCTCAAAGGTGGCTTCTATTGGTTTGGCCTCTTGCACTTGATTTGCAAATTGAATGACAAATATGCCACAATCCAATCTGCATTTTTTTTTCTTGGAAAAACAAATAAGTATGACAGATAATGAGATCATATTATAACATTCGATGACATATTAAAAGTGAAAAATGAAACCATTTCTTGTTTGTAACACTGTTATGCAAACTAGAACTATATCTGAAACTATATTATGACACTATTTTGCAAAGTCTAAATTTAGAGTATATTTTCCTAGAATGATTTTGTTTTCTATTTTCCGTGTCTCATTTCCATATATTTGTAGTTAGATGACATATAATTACTAAAAAAATGAACTATTTGTTGATTTGTAATATTGTTTTGTAAAGTGTAAAGAGTGAAAAATCAACTATTTCTAAAACTTCTTATGACATTATTTTGCAAACTGCAAACTATTTTTCAAGTATGAGTCTTGTGTTTGTATATATGATTTTCATGGTCCTTCTTATGTGTTTGAATGTATAAATTTGATTGAAAATATAGAGATCAACTTGTTTGTACTTACGAGTCCTCCTTTTGTTGTACGCAAGTTAAGCATCTTTGAATATCTATTGTGAGGTTGTTGTCTCCTTTGAAATCTTTATAAAATGCTTCTATTTTGTCTATCTGCCAAAACAAATAAAAATAATATAAAAAACAAAAAATAAAAAAAAAATAAAAAAAACAAATTGTATTATGAAGTTTGATTTTTCCTATCAGCATAAGAATATAGTTTGTAATTGAGTTATAGTTTTGTTCTTACCACTTGCACAGCATGATCAAAGTATTGGTCTTTATGCCCATGTACCCTTGGTAGTTTGGAATTGTAGTGTGTCATTTTTCCATTTTTAATGTCCCAAACTACCAAGCTAAAGTGGAAGTAATGCTTGATAAATATGAAGACTTTTCCGACTTTATTCACATTATCTTGTAAGACTGTCTTCAATGTGCTCCTGATCACTCTTGCTTTTTTCAATCTCCATATCATTCTGAACCAAGAATACACATTTATTTATAAATCTTAATTAATAAGTAACACTAATTCTTAAACTGAACCAAGAATACACATTTTTCAATCTTCATATCATTCTGAACCAAGAACACACA